GGAAGATAAGAAACAGTAGTAGGGATGCTGGAGATTAATGCATTTTGAAGAAGCAGTGATGACAGTAACTGCTTCTTTTTTTACTTCCAGTTTGAAAACTTCATTTCCTTCAAGAAACTAGCCACGAATCCTCATTGAGTCAGGTATTATTGTCCCCTGCTTATCTAAATGGAATTAAAAGAAGGTACAGGGGCTGGGGATTTAGCTCACCGGCACAGTGCCTGCCTGGCAAGCACAAGGTCAGGAGTTCGATTCCTGGTACTGGAAAAAAACCAAAAACTGACTAAATAAATAAATAAATAAAAATAAAAGAAGGTACAAGTTTGGGGATGGGGTTCAGGGGTAGGAGCTTTCCCAGCATGCACAGGGCCCTGAGCCAGGCGTGATGGCTCACTCCTGAAATCCCAGCATCTGGGAGGCTGAGGCAAGAAGATTGCCGTGAGTTTGAGGCCAGCCTGGCCTGGATAGTACGGTGAAGCTCAGCCCGGACTACATAGCAAGGCTCTGTCTCAAAAGCAAACACAAGTCCCTGGGTTTGACCCACACCCAGCTCTGTTAAAAGAAAAAAAAAGACAACCCCTAAATTCACTTGACATTTAAGTAGTGGATCTAACTTAGAATTTAAGTGACTAATTCCAAAAGACCAGCGCTCCTTGCTGTCCAGAGCTCCCTCCGCTTCCCCGCGCATTCGTGCAGCTCACAAACCTGCAGCGGAGCGAATATCGGAAAATGTCGCACACTTAGCATGCCGTGCCGGTCCCCACATTTGCCGATTACACTGAGAACCTTTTCTTAGGAAGCAGCAACATGTGTTTACAGTTCATGAAGTGATTCTGTACCTGACAGCTAATTCAACGTTGCTACACAGTGCCCCTAAGGGGTAGACAGCTTCTCTACCTGCATCTGTCTCACCGCAGACGCGGCTGACACATCAAGACCGTCATCCCCGGACGTGCACCTCGCAGCTGCTGCCCGTGAATTGCGTCAGTGCAGAAATGCTGTTTGTTTTCTTCATTTCCGTACAAAGCAACGGGATCAGTGCCTGGCACATAGAAGCTCAATAAGTAAGTGTTAAATAAACCAATGCATGTGGCCTTTCAGTTTTAATTTTGTACTTTTTTTAGTGACATCATCGTGCCCTTCTAAAATTTTCCATGAACGGTGCAGTTTCTGAAGAAGAAAGCTTGTGCAGTCTAAAAAGACTGACTCAAGCCTCCTGCATCAGACTTCTACAGGGATCATGACAAAGCTACACTGTAATTGGAAAACTGAGTTTAAATTTATAAAAACCCATGCACTAGAAAGCATATCAAGAAAATTCACAAAATTGAAAGTAGGGCCCAAAAGACCAGACATGCCGGATAACATACATTTTATGCAAGTAAATGCGAGAGCAAGGAGACACTGGCACAAAAAAAGACTGAAAAATTATTTCCTAAGAATAACATACATGTCAAGTAAGGGAGTTCAACTAAGAGAAAAGAGCTTAAAGGAAGAATTTCATTTCACATCTGTGTCCGCCATCTCTTTCCATACAGCTTCATGAAGATCGTTATGATTTCACAGACCAGCTTCCCTTTTCTCTCTTACAGTTACCTGAAAATAAAACATTGCTATAAGATAATTATCTCTACCGTCTGTTACACAAGTGCAGTCGTACCTGCTCTGAAAGAGCGTCTCAAGAGCGTGGTGGATCTTAACACTTACTAGGTACCATTACTATTCATATGTGAGTATTCTCTCATGAAGAAATTTACACTGTAGGTATCTAAAAATTTCTGTAAATTAAAGGGTGAACATAAAATAGGAATACAAAAACAAATATTTACCAAATATTTTAAGCTATGAGCAATATTCAAAAATGAAAACATTACTGAAAAAACACCAGCAGTTTTCATGCATTTTTATTTATTTTGAAAGTAGCAAAGGACAGACTCAAGAGCATTTGCACCCGTGGAACGCAGCCCTCCTGTGCGTTACTGCTGCGGTGATATAAGGAATGTAGGAACGTCGGGGCTCTCGAAACTCTGACCTGTGTGTTTCTACGTCATGTCGCAGGTAAGTCATTTCCCTTTTGCAGTTTCTCTTCAAAACGCAAAAGGTGTAAATGTTAAAGTAGATGAGTGATTGTACGTTTTTATGAGTTCTGAGCTTTAGAGAATCTGATGAAAATTTACCATGGGCTAAATGTGCATAAAAAGAATAGTACGAAGTGTGTGGACAATGTCACAGTCTACAGAATTTATCCTTAGACTTGGAAAGTGTTTTTTTGTTTGTTTGTTTGTTTGTTTGTTTGTTTGTTTTTCCCCAAGCATGTCTTCAAAACGCTTGAATTACCAAAGAAACCACGAGGAGAATTTCTGTTTGTTAATCTCATACTGCCATCTAGCGGCCACATTTAATAACACCTGAAAGAGACAGTGATCCTCGTGTCCCAAGGTGGAATATTTAAAACTAGGTTTCTAAACACGAGAATGATGCCACCCCTTCCTAATTGTCATAGCAACAATCATAAACATAACTGTTAAATCCATATTTGACTTTCTTCTCTTTACGCCTTTCTCTCTCTCTCTCTCTCTCTCTCTCTCTCTCTCTCTCTCTCATACACTTACTCACCATACTGAATCTAAAAGTATTAACGTATTTAAACACACTTTGTATAGACTGTTTCTCCAATTGGCAAAGGAAGGTATGAAAACAGCACACCGCATTCACTCTCTCTCCAAATATCCTTTATAAATCTTCACCTTTTTCTTCCAGATTCCATCCCGAATGTCTGCCCACCCCAGCAGACATCCCTGTTCCCTTCTGCTGGAGCAGAACCGCTGGCCGGTGGAGGTGCCCGCCCCGCCTCACCTGGTGGCGCTGGATCCCGAGGCTCCGAGCCTCCCAACCTGCAGACAGAAGCACTCCACGAAGGCACACAAATCAGCCAGAGACCGGTGACTTCACAGACGTGGCTGCCACACCAGGACAGAAATTGGGCCACACAGAATCTTCTTCTCTTTAAGGTATAAAATCATAACAGGGAAAGCAAGCAGAATCCTTCTCCTGACTGTATTCTCGCACTTGTGTTCTCTTCCAACGGACGAAAGCTAAACAACCCAAACCCGGTCCACTGCCCCAGACTGGATTAGTTTTGCCCATTGTGCGACAGAAAATCGAAAATGACAGTAACTTACATGACTTCTTTACTCCCTAAAACATGTCAGAGGGGAGCTAATACCAATTGAAATGTCTGTAAGTGACCTAATGATCTCCTCATGGTACATAATAGCGGCTACAAATCCAGCCATTTAATCCTCATTCCTCACAGAGAGGACAAAGTGGGAGAAAAACTAGTAACCTGAAAATCTAAGGAGACTTTCTAGATGCACCTCAGAAATTTTCTACTAAAGTATCATTCACTGGTCAGCACTTGAGGATGTGATCAAGCCGCCTAGAGAGCGTTTGGAGAACGAAGTCCTTTCTGTCGACGGCAATGTGCTGGGCTGAACTGAGGGACCCGCGGCAGCAGGAATAAAAGGCTGGCTTTCTCTGTTTGGTTGAGCTCCTTCTCTCCCAGCCATTCTTTCTCCTGCGTGGTCTCACTACCATGATGGCACTCGTGTGAGGGCGAAAAGCTAAATCTTGCCGCCCGGGACCTCAGTTGGAAGCTCAGACTCACTGTGCCCACTGCCCATCTGCCCTGCGTTGCCCTCGGGCTTTGCAGCTGCCCGGTATCGCCGGTTCCACTCGCTTCCACCCCTCCGCCTCCCTGGAACCCAAGCACCTCCGGGCGGGGCGCTGCCGGACCCGTGTACCGCTAGATCCTCAGAGCGCGAGAAAATAGCTGCAACTCAGCAGTCGCTGTGGGCAAAAATTTTAGTATAATAATCATTTCATCCATTAAAATGCCTATTCAGAAAAATATTAAATGGAATATAACTTTTTTACTTTTTGTATTTTATTTTAAAGAGAGTAGTAAAAGAGGAAAAAAGAGAACAATAGCAGCATACCAGCATCACAAACATAAACAAACCAAAGCAAGGACATTTGAAGTGATACAGGGTTTCAAGACAAAATGATAGAGTTAACAGTGATTGTTATATTACATATTGTTATCTTCAACTACGTTGCTCAGATTACCAGATGTAAAAATGAAAGATTGTTCAAATCGTTAAAGAATAAGAAAATAATTATTAGATAAAACATTAGAGATAATACAGTTTCACTAGCCAAGATGGAAGGAATTCATCATGGTAGTTCCATTGCATATTGTTGCCTTCAAATCAGTTGCTCAGATTACCAGATAAAAGCATGCAAAATTGGGGTGACGTACTTTAAAATCTATAGAATTACAACTTCTTTAAATCAACTTAATCTATGATATTATGTCTTGCTGTCGACATACTACATATACACACTTACACAGAGAAAACACTACAGGACAATAAGCAATAGTGTTGACCTAATCACAAAAATATCACACTGTAAGTGAAGCAAAATTCCTGGCCTAACTGCAGCCATTTTGCTCAGTAAAGCCGCAGTCCTTCTGTTCTCTGCCACTGAACTCAGCTACATCATACGATTTGTCATCAAATTGAAACTTCTGTGAATGTGCTAAAGACAACTTGTCACACACAGCCTTGCTCATCCCAAGATATTCATTGTACCCTGGCCTTCAGCAAAAACTTATCTCATTCTTGTAACTCCTATTTGCTGACTTATAAAAAGACAAACTTTCTGTAAACCTCACCTCAGACTTTGGAGATTAGTCCTCTGGGGTCTGCTAGCATCAACAAAATATCCTATCTTCCCTGAACGCCTGGATGCTGTTGATTCAATTTTTCCTGCAGCAGAAGAGCATAGTTTGTTTTCCAAATCCCACTGTCTTATAAAATAAACTATTAAAATAGTATTTCTGGGTGCCACATGTTCTACATAAGTATACATATTTAGAAAAATGTTTAAAATAAATACTGTAAAGTCGGCAAGATTTTTGCACGTGAACAGTGGAATGATTTGAGCTTCTTTGTGTTCTATTTTCCAAAAGTCCTAGAGTAATTTTAGCTCTCCTCACCCCAAAAATGAATTTTCATTGCATTTCCTAGGCAACATGGATGACAGACTTAGACAGATAAATTATATATTCTTGCTAGTTGAAATCCTTTTTATGTTTTAAGTTATGCGTTAAATTATATAGCAATCTAAGTATGTTTAAAGATTTTCTCAAACCGAAAATATTACCTCACTTTTTTATTTTATTTTCATTAATTAACTTTATTGGTACATTTTAAATCTACATAATTATCACTTTCACCATAGGAACTTTGCACCTGTGCATAACTTATCTCCATTCTTTTTCCCACTTCCTTATCCTCCCTTCAACCTCTTTTTCCCTCCTTATTTACAAAAGCTTTGTTTCTTTTTTTTCATTTTTTCTTTTTTTTCCTTCATTTCCCCCTCTGCTCCCCAGTTCCTCCTCCCAATTAAACATTTTCTTCCTATTTCCTAATATCTAGTATATAGTCTAGTCCTAATTTACTCTTTCAGGTTCTCGTAGCAGAGAAACAATGCAATACTTACACATGTGTTTGATTTATTTCACTTAAAATGAATGGTCCCAAGGTGTATACATTTACCTAGAAATGTCTCAAGTTTATCCTTCATTATGACTGAGTAATGCTTATTGTATAAAAAAGACACATCTTCACTATTTTTTACAAAGATATTAAAATACATGCTCAGAGGACATGACTTCTGGAGTCTCGAGAGGGAACGGAATCTCTCCTTGCCCTCGTTGGAGTGTCACCTCAAAATATCCCCGGCCATGGAATTGCTCAGCAGAACTTTGGAGACAGCCCTCCCTGGACCTCGTGCTGAGCAGACAGTGGCTCGTCCCTGCAAAGGGGCCCAGCGCTCTGCTCCTTGAATGAGTCACCGGCAAAACGCCTGGAGGCTTGGAAGAAATGTAGTGCACACGTATTATGCCGGGGTGTTTCAGGGCATCTGCAACACCAGAAGATCTCCCGGGACCCACACCACTCCAAAGGCCAAGTCTGGTGGCAAGAGCTGTCTCTCAGACACACCAGGGCTCACAGCCATCTCAGCATCCCCTTTCCCGGCCAGAAACTTCTGAAATTGTGAAAAAAATTTTCCTTGTTTTCTAGGGCATGAAATGTGACAGGGCCCACCCTGGTGAGGTGAGATGATATTAGTGCAGAAGTACGGGATGATATTAGTGAGTGAAGAACCTGCGGCCTCACTTATTTCCCGACTCCTTGAGCTCCCCAGAGGTGCCCAGGTCAAGGGTTCTGGGAGGAGGCAGCCGGAGAGTGGCAGTGTCGGTCCTGTTGAGACTTAGCGTCACACCCGGCCCTGCCCCGGGGATCCCACCTACTCTCACACTGCTCACTTATTTCAGGGTGTTGTGGGGCTCACAGGGGCCCTGTGGAGCCAGGTAGAACCGAAGCTCCCTGGACCCCTGTATCCAACATAGGAATCTGTCTGGCTATTGCTCAGCCATCTGAGCTGAAGCACTGTGTTTTGTTCTATTTGTTTGTTGTTTCTTTCTTCAGTCAAATTCAAGAAACATGACACTCATGTTATGAGTGCTACGGACACTGTCGCAGGCATCTCCCCAGCCCCGGGCAACCTACTCATAGCAGCCTTTGTGTGCTGATATGAAAGGTTGTGAAGCTGGCCAAGCTGGTGAAGCTTCATCTGTACTCATAGTAGCCCCCGTCACAGGCATCACCCCATGAAGTCCACCTGCTGTCCACTCAGCAGGAACTGGGGTCTCAAAGGACCTTGAACCTTACTGCAAACTGGGTTGGAAAGGGATCTAGCTTTTATGATCCATCAAATAACAACCAGTGCTTGTGGGGCTAAGGGGAAACTCTCTTACTCTATTGGAGGGAAGGAAACTTAGTACAATCCCTTTGGAAACTAGTATGGAGACTCCAAAAATCTGAACCTACAAATTCCATTTGCTCCAGCTATTCCTCTTCTAGGGATCTTCCCAAAAGAGTTAAAGATGTCATATCACAGTGATACATGCATGCACATGTGTCTTGGTTATGTTTCTGTCTCACTGAGACAAAAATACATGGTGTGCAGAATTGAAGGAAAGGTTTATTGAGCTCACGGTTTGTAGAGATTTCACTCCATAATGAGCTGGCTCCAAAGCAGGGTGGTATGGCACAGGGGAAACAGCTCAAGGTGGCAGAAAACAGCAAAAATAAGAGCAAAAAAAAGGGGGGTGGAGAACAAGCCTCTTTTCCTCCCTTCTCTTGTAAGCAGGATACCACTCCTTAGAGCCAGCGTAGCCCTCACACCACACCACCTCCATGCCCTCCTCTTGCACAGAATGAGGATGCTTACAAAGTGAGGACCCTGGGCCCCTGATGAGTAGTTTAGTTAAACTTCTAAACTTCTCAAGTTGACACAATGTCTCAAGCATGACACCGTGTTTATAGCAGCACAATTCTCAATAGCTAAGCCATAGGAGCAGCCCACATATCCATCAACACATGAATGGGTAAAGAAAGTATGGCATTTACACACCCCTGCGTAGTACACTGTCATAAAGTAGGGTACATTCGAATCATTTTTAGGGAAAGAGATACACTTGGAGACCATAAAGTTAAGTAAACGCATAAGCTTAAATATCTCATGGTTTCTCTTATACAAGAAAGCCAAGCATAAAGAGCAAAATGAAAATTAGATAACAGGAAGAGGGAGACAATTTTTCTCTAAGGGGAAAGGGATCAAGAGATGGAAATGGAGACAGAGGAGGGAAAGGGGGTGGAAAAATATTAAGATGAGTCATGTACAGGTACCAG